ATTTTCCTGAGAAACTAAATGTTATTTTTCTTTCATTACAGGTATGAAATTTTCTTTACCCACTAAGAGACAAATTGGGAGTGACACAGAAGATCCAGTATTTAAAAAGACGAAAATGGCATATAGTTCGGCCAGTGATCCAGAAGCCACTGATGTATTTAAATCCTTGTTCACATCCCATCAGAAAGCACATGTCTGAAAAACATGTCTGTGATTTTAGTATTTAGTTTTACCTTTATTTCATTGGTTTTGTAGATTTCCATTATGTTTTGTAGTAATAGATTTGGGATGTTTTTCTCTTGAAGTATTTTGAACAATAATGGTCTGTTTACGATATCAAAGGGTTTTTTCGATATCTAAAAAGGCCATACGTGTTTCTAAATTAAATTCCTATGTTCATTCTATTAGCAGTTCCAAAGTAAATATACCAGCATGCTGCACAGACTCAAGTATGTTCCTAGCATTCATTTAAGGACAGGATCCTGGAAACATTCAATAATGCTGTATCTGCCCCAATGCAAGATGGCTGAAAGGAACAGTCCTGTGCTAAGAAACACGTAGTAGTCTAACTAACTAGGTGGCTTATTGAAACTGAAGGTTCATCACCAAATTAAGCAACAGGCAAAATTGAAGGTTCTATATTTTAATCTTTATGCTCTTAAAGATCAGACATTTCGATCTGAGAAGCTGCAAGCATTTCCGGAATTCGTCTCCTCCTAATTTCCTCATCACTTCTTATTGGAACTTTGTCACACTAAAAAATAAACTTTCTTTTGTTTGGTGTTTGATTTTAGAAGCAATGTTTACCTTTCCAAGTGTTTAATTGCATATAATGAGTATGCATTGTAATTATATTTCACAATAGACATTGGCTTCTCATAACAACAGACTTCTTCCTCGGTGTAGACAAAACGCGGCTGGACGGCGCATGCAGAGCAACTGGCTCTAGGTTTTAATCATCTCTATGAAGGCTTTAAGGAAGTAAGACATGTTTCGCTTTATTTCTGTGTTTGCGTTCTGTCAGAAGATGAGAGGGAACTTGATGTTGCAGGAGCTGTTCCAGAAGGTTCGCAGTTTGCTCAACAAACTCACGCCTGAGAAGTTTGACAGACTTGTTTCCCAGGTCCAGGCTCTGCCAATTGACAGCAGCGATCGTCTGAAGGGCGTCATCTGAAGGGCGTCATCGATCTCGTATTTGAAAAGGTGAGGCACCGGTCTTTAGCAGCTGATACATTCAGACAGAGACGTCATATTGATAGAAATTCCCTTCTTTTGAAACTTTGCAGCTCAATTTCTTAAATATTGAAGTTATCCTCAGTGTAGTATTGGAGGTGCTAGGGGCAAGTGAAAATTATAATTGTTACTGATAACTATGATAATAATCTTAAAAACCAGTAGGCTGATTGTTCTCTCTTTAAATTCACCTCCAAGCTTATGATTTATCTGTACTCATCTAAAAATGTTTGTCAATATCGGTTTATCTTATGCAAGAAAATTAAGGCTGTCGTGAAATGTGTCTTGCATCTGACTGAGATTTTGAGTTTCTCAGGTTTAAGGGATAAAGATTTACTTTTGTTGAAGCTTCATTTAGGTGGCCATCATTTCATAAATTTAGTTTATGTAACGTGTGTTCATTAGAGTTATTGTTTTTCATAAATATAACATAAGAGCAAAGTGAAAAAGTTGTGTTTTTATGTGCAGGCTGTTGATGTACCAAACTTCGCCGAGACTTATGCACGAATGTGCAAGGTTCTCTCCAGCATAAAAGTTCCGGCACAGCGTGGGAACAAGGATGAACCAGAGGTCACCTTCAGGAAGTTGCTGCTAGGTCGATGCCGGGCCGAATTTGAAAAGAATTCTGAATCAGGCATAAATCAAGAAGCCACACAGAAAGAGATTGAGGAAACAGCAGACCCAGTAAGTGCTTCTCTAATGTCTTTGTCTACGGTCATATGTTACTACGCTTCTGTCCACTGATTGGGAATAGCTCCGTCTGCGATCGAATGGAATAGATGTCTCCCCCTTTTTGCTTGAAGACTAATTTCTATCATTTCAAAAATTATTATTCATTATGTTGTTACATTAGTTTTACTTTTCCAGGTCCTTAACTTCCTATAATGAGGACTTAATGTACTAATATTTTTTTTCCAAAAGTCGTAAACTCTCATAATAATGGACTCCTGCTGCACTTCCACTTGACATTTCTCATTAGCTTATGAAGTTCCGATCCGAGTATCCGATTAATATTATAAAAGTTACAAGTTGATTTAATATGTTGTAATAATTCGCGTTTTCAGCTTGTGAAAAGCACAATTCTGTTTTAAACTTCTTTAGCGTGCAGTGACCACGGAATATGTCGGTGATTATCGCAGCAACTAATAAATGTGTGAATACATACGACGCTATGTTATTCACAGAGAGACTTGAGGTTTGATGGTTGTTTGAAGACGTCTTATCATACACATGTTGTATATTATAAAAACTATTTCCTTATAGTTATTCAAGCATGATGTAACTCGAACAACATATTCCTGTCAAAATTACGTTTAAACGTTATGATACAAACAGTATTTAGTGCCAGATAGCTCTGAACGTAAAAAGCAAAACATTAGTCCACCAGTACAATAAAGGTCGTAGAAACGTTTGTCAGAAATGGTGGTTCATAAACTTAAATGGAAATGTGTCAAATTATTATAAACATGTACATTAGGGTTAGATATTCATTGGTTTAAAGTAGCACATTTGTCCGATTAATATTATTTAAGTTACAGGCTGATTTAATGTGTCATATTTCGCGTTTTCAGCCTGCGAGAAGCACAATTCTCTATCAACGTTCATCGGCGTGCAGCGACCACGTAGTGTGTCGGGGATTATCGCAGCAACTAATATGTGTGTGAATACATATGATGCAATGTTTTTCACAGACAGACTTGAGTTTTGATGTTTGTTTGAAGACGTCTTATCATATACATGTTTTATATTAAAAACACTATTATTTTGAGGTATTCAAGCATGATGTAACTCGAACATCACATTCCTTTGAAAATTACGTAGAAACTTTATGATACAAACAGTTTATAGTGCTAGATAAATCAGAACATAAAAAGCAAAACATTAGTCCACCAGTACAGTACAGGTCGTAAAAAAGAATGTCAGAAATGGTGGTTCATAAACTTAAATGGAAATGTTTCAAATTATTATAAACATGTACATTAGGGTTAGATATTCATTGGTTTAAAATAGCACATTTATCCGAGTAATATTATTTAAGTTACAGGCTGATTTAATGTGTTGTCATATTTCGCGTTTTCAGCTCGTGAAACGCACAATTCTGTTACAACGTACATTAGCATGCAGCGACCACGTGGTATGTCGGGGAATACCTCAGCACCTAAGATGTGTGTGAATACATACGACGCTATGTTATTCACAGACAGACTTGTGGTTTATTGGTTGTTTAAAGACGTCTTATCATACACATATTTTATAATATAAACACTTTTTCCTTAGAGTTATTCAAACATGATGTTGGTGTGTAGCGGCCACGTAGTTTGTCGGGGATTATTGCAGGAACTAAGAAGTGAGTGAATTCATACCATGCAATGTTATTCACAGACATATTAGAGTTTTCATGGTTGTTTTTAAGACGTCTTATCATACATATTTTGCATATTTGAAACACTATTTCCTTCTAGATATTAAAACATAATGTTACTCGAACATCATATTCCTTTCATTATTACGTATTAACAGTAATATACAATCAGTATTTAGTGGTACTGGAATCAGATCGTAAAAAGAAATATATTACTTCCCGGCTACATAACAGACAGTTCTTATCGAAGCTACAGTTCCCGCAGCCGGATCATAGTCAACACGCTCGCCCGGTACCACGTGTTTTAGACTGGTTTCTTTATCACAAACTGTTTCGTGGTTATTGATAATGAGTGTTCAATAATTCTGTGTGCTGACTATTTTTTGTTATGATAATTAGCAAAGGAAGTGTATCGTAGTTACAGTAAATTACTTTTTCTAAATTGTCTTTGACTGAAAAAAGTTATGTAAAAAATCACGCCCGCCGTCTTCCGGACTTACAAATAGTTAAAACATCGTCGAGCACGTAAGGGTTTTCTCCTGATGTAAATTTACTCTTCATTTATTTATATTGTTATGTGTTGAAAAACTATTCTGGGTGTTCCCCCTGCGCAGCACTACCATTGCTCAGACTCACGAGCCGCCACTGCAATCAACTAGCCTCTTAAATGAACTCGTACGTCTCTGGGTGTCACAAAAACGGTCTTTAGAGTCGGATATTGCCTAGTTTCGACATGCACTAGGGTCCGGCAAAATCTAACAATGTTATGCGTTCATAGTTACAAATTTAATTTTTGGCGTTTTCAGAGCGTGAAAAGCAGGAATCTGTAATTTCGTTTACGAGTGTCCTGCGAATTTCTAGGGATTCGGGAGATGTTCCTATCAGCTTAGATATTCGTGAAGCCAGTAAACGAGTTGATATCGAATACTCTATATTGGCTGAGATAGTTGTTTGAAGATGTCATATCATGTAAATATTGTATTCGCGAAACATGGTTACATCAGAGTTTTAGAACTGTTTAGTATCTCGCACGTTATATACATTCACAAATGACTGTAATTGTCAAATATATTTGTTAACTTTTAGGGCATATTTAACACTCCTAAATCCACGGGCCGATATATCGGCGCTAGCAGTAAGCTAAAACAGCGCGCCGATATATCGGCGTCGGCTAATTCTGGTGGCATTACACATATGGCTCCCAGATGGCAGTACATGGCTGCAAATAGTAGTTTAAACGACGTTTAATTCATATTTTCCTCAAGAGATAACTTCTAAAAGTTAAAAACATGCTCGTGGTTCTCGGTTTAATTATGCTAAGATAAGTGGTTAACTTCGTAATTTTGTTTTTATTATAAAGTTTATGTAGTACTTATAGTTTTCTTTGTTTTTCTGTATTGTGATATATATTAGTTAATTTATTGTAAATTTTTCACCTAGTCAATAGCTTGTTCCAGGTCAAAAAGGTACGTTTACATTGTTTTACAAAAACTTTTGTAGTCAGGACCGGATAACAATATAGACACTAAAAATATCAAATTACAGGGAGCCCTCGATTTGCGCCGGTTCAATTTGCGCCGATTCAGAATAACGCCGATTTTAAAACCAGCAAGTCAAAAAGTGAAAAAACAAAAATTTACTATTATTTATAACGTTTTACACTGTAACTCATACTGATTCTTATACTAAATCGTAATTCTTCCATCGCTGATTTTGAATAAAAATTATAAATACAGTCATCTCTGCAATTACGTATGTTTCGTTAATGCGAATTTGCTCCAATGAGATCGATGAATCGGTAAAAGCTGTTTGTGAAATGCAAACTTTTCCATATGCGAGTTTGCTCTTATGAAATTTCATTCTTTAAACTTTCAAAGGACTAATTTAGTTTCTGCGGAGGTACCGGGGTTATTTTTACTACGCTATTTTCTATAGGTCGGCGTCTTACATGAATGCAACTATCGCATAACAGCAGAGACGACTGTACACATCAGTCACATGAAAGAATTGCAGTCAATGGCGGGGACCAACGAATTGCCGATTGTAAGCGTATAAAATATATTTTTAATAAATGGGGTTTTTTGCAGGTGAGTGATGAAGAAGGAAAACAAAAAAAACAATTGTTTTTACCTCCTGAAAATGAAATTTTTTAAAATATTAATTTTTCAAAAATGTTTTTGTTAACTATAACGTTATTTGAATTTTTTTCAAATCCGCATTATTTAGTGTAAATATGTGATTTTTGTCATTTTTTTTTATTTCTGCTTCTGAAGCTGTAAATATGTGAAAATTGGCCTGGGTGTTTAGCCCGCAACATTGAAAATAAGCTTTGGAACTAAGAGGGTTAATTTTTTTTGACCCCCGCCACAGCTTCATATAATATATTAGATTGTATGCCCCATTTGTATTCCTCAATCTAAGGAATTTCCTCAATTTAAGGAATGAAATTTAACTGCATTCACAAACTCTGGAACCCAGTTCAGTGTTCATGTTAACACACTGCAAAATTCATCATTGCTGCCAGTGAGTTTGAAGCCAGTAGAAATATGTGAGTTCTCTTCCTCCCTTGCTGACCACAAGACACTCCCTCCACATAGCCTGATGAGGCATTCTTTTGTGTCCGTACTTGTGAACCCATTCTAAACTTCCATGTCTGAATTTTTGGTTCTGGATTCTTTGTAGCTCTGAGGCCCAGAGATGTAGGTGCACTGATTAGTATTTGTGTAAAATGTTAATATGTTGTTAACAAGTCCACAGTCGTGCATGTTGGCACTAGGCTGCTGTTGGGAGTCATTCAACAAAAGCACTGCAGATGCTGATATATTCTTATCAGATTTGCCAACTGCATATTCTGTGTGTGTATAGCTTGGTTGTGTACTGAAGTGTACCTGATACACATACAGCAGAGAGATACTTAAATTATTGCTTAAGTTGTGGCCTCTCAGGTATGTGTTACTCTGAATCTTATTAACCTGCAAGATTGCCAAATCTGGTGTATTATCTTGGAATAATGGTAAGAGGATTGTTCTCAAAGTTGTATTCCTGAAAGCTTTTGACAGAGAGGATAGCTGCTGTTCTATGGGTTTCGGCACCTTAAATGATCTCAATGGACCTCATGTATAGCAATGCACCAGAGACATGGAACCTCAGTCCTACAGAGCAGGCTGACATTTCATTGAAATGAACAAAAATTAACTCAAAATGCTGATAGATGTAACTTTGAAGGTTTGAGGAAGATGATGGTAATGATACTGAGGGATTGCGAAAAACTACAGAAAAGCCCATTGAAGAAGAGAGATGATCTCAAATCAAAGCCTTTCTGATATACAAGGTGTCCCATTCAAACCTCCCCCATTTTAATCAATCATTACGAACAAATTATGATAAATTAAGGATTGTAATTAGCACTAGAAGGAAGAAAAACTCAAAGAATTTTATTTGCAACTACATAATGCAATGTAATGTAATTTTTTCTCTGATTAATAAGTAAAATGGCGACTCCACAGCAGCGTGGTATGTGGAATCAAAATCAATAATTTCAGTGCAAAGAAATTACCGACGAGTGTACGGAGGAGATGCTCCTGATGGGAAAACAATTAAGGTATGGTTCGAGAATTTTCTGGCGACTGGAAGTATTCTAAAACAATCTGGGGGAGCTCGTCGAAGTGTTTCTCAAGAGAAGGTGAAAGAAATCAGTGCGGGGTTTGAGAGAAGCCCGAGCAAATCAATTCGCCAAGCATCAAGACAATTCAATGTGCCACGATCAACAGTGCATCGAATGCTGCATAAGCGGTTTCGTTTATATCCTTACAAAGTGCAAATTGTTCAAGAATGTAAACCAGATGACAAGCCACGTTGACAGGAATTTGCTACCGAAATGCTGGATCATATCGACACGAACCCTCATTTTCTTGGAAACATCTTGTTTTCAGATGAGACCACATTTCATCTGTCTGGTATTGTCAATCGGCATAATGTACGGATCTGGGGAACGCAAAATCCGCACATCTACAGAGAACATGTCCGAGACAGCCCAAAATTGAACGTTTGGTGCGGCCTAATGGAGGAGAGGATTATCAGTCCGTTTTTCTTCGGAGAAGCTACAGTATCTGGCCCTGTATACCTTGACATGTTGGAACAGTTCCTGTATCCCCAGATAGCCGATCTGCAGCCAACATAATCTTCCAACAAGATGGAGCCCCGCCACATTGGAGTCTGGATGTTCAGAGGTCCCTCAATACCACCTTCCAAGATCGCTGGATTGGATGCGGTGGACCAATTTGGTGGCCACCACGTTCACCGGATCTCACTCCGCTGGATTTCTTCCTCTGGGGTTATGTGAAGGATCGTGTGTTCGTTACTCCAGTGAATGACCTACCAGATTTACGAACCTGCATTCGTGGTACGATTGCTACTGTAACAATGGGAATGTTGCAGAGAACGTGGCAAGAAATTGAATACCGAATAGATATTGTTCGTGCTACCAATGGTGCACATGTAGAGGTTTATTAGTGTGTGCCAAATAAAATTTTTGAGTTGTTCTTGCATTTTCTGTGGTTTCATTTTCCTACCATTCATACTTTCTGCTCTGCGATCTGATAAAATGTGGGAGGTTTGAATGGGACACCTTGTATATTACAGGTATACATTTACCATTCTTATATAAAGAATTAGATGTGTAACTAATACACAAAGAGGTTCTGAGTCACGAAAGGAGATAAAACATAATATTAAAAAAAAGATGTACAACACAATAAATTCGTTTCAGGACACTTGCGGTATAATTGATCCTGATTTAACAGAATATGAACTTGATCATTCTTATAATCACAAGAGTTTTTCTTTCAAGAGCATCAAGAATTTTACATCATATAACAAATAAAATTGAGTAGGGTCATTAAAGTCTTGAATTCTCAAATTCAAAATAATTTTCTAAAATCTGCAGGTACCATGTTGTCACACCCCTATTATGCCTGTTGTATAATAAATTGTATAACCTGAAGACCATCCCTTCATTTGTTTAAAGAAAGTAACATACATCTCAACTGCATCTGTTTTTGAATAAGAAAATCATCTCCAACTTTTATCATGAAATTGTAATATTAAGAAATATACAATGTGACATAATATTCTCTTTTCACTTATGACTTAATATATTAAGTCTGTGTCTTCTCTTATATTCTCACTTTTGGCTCAGAAAACACAAACATACACTCATCCATACACAATTATTCCACTATTTCACTATAGTGGATGTACACTGCTTTAGGTATATCTCTTATTACAACAATTTAAGAAGTCCCTCGAAAGTATTTCACGCCCCCTTCCTGCTTCCACACTATCTCTTCTAGTCAGCGGAATAAGCGAGCAAAGTCCCGCAGAGCATGTGTTACAGCTTTTGATCCTTCCGCTCTGAAACACGGTTTAACTTAATTAAAATGTAAATACCACAAAGTAAAACACAGGCATTCTATGACATGCTAGATAGGAGGCCTTCAAAAGTAACCACAGATAAATCTACAAATATGTTTATGTCTTGCCACCAAAATGCAGGACCGAATCATAAAAAAAAATCCAGTTAATGCTTATGAAAGTGTAGCATTCTTCATATATGTGGGAACGTCAGTACCAAATCAAAATACATTCACAATTAAATTAAGAGCACATTACATTCAGGGAATAGTAGCTACTATACAGTTCACAACCTTTACTTCCCTGTGTAAAAACATAAATATTAAAATATACAAATAATAATTTTACTGGTTTTACGTGGCTCTAAAACTTGGTCTCTCATCTTATGAGAACACAGATTAAGTCTGTTTGAGAACACATAGAAAGAAAACACATTGTTGAGGAAAATATTTAGACCTAAGAGGGAAGATGTAACATTATTCTGCAAAAATATGGTATATCACAGCAATATTCTTAAATTTAAAGATAATAATCCACATGCATAAACAATCCATTTCATCAGTCAGGATCAAAGCTGATCCAAGTGCATGAGGGGGAACAGGGATAGGCCAACTGACCAAACTGCTTAATGGCTATTCAGGTTGGGTTGAAAGAGAACCATTTGCAAACAAAGAAAATATTGCCAGACATCAACCTGGATCAACTTATTCACTAGACATATTCATTCTTACATGAAAAATCTCTGTAAAAATGAACATCAAGGTTAATGGGGTAAGACAAACCAAATAAATGCATTTAGAAAATAATAAAATGCCCCTTTCCTACACTGTTTTTACAATGGGCAGAAACCAGATTCATGCAATTTCCTGTTAAAAAACTATACAAGTAAAACTGTACACTGTAAATTTCTAAGGAAGTTTTTCTATCATTTATGCAGTCTTGCTGACATCTAAAACAGTACTTAATATTAACTTGAAAGTAAGGTTACTAACTTCAGAATACTTACCCTGTGAGTGCACAATGAAAGTCAGTCAGCTGTTTATGCGTTGCTGTAATAGTTCCACCCGAGTTTTGTGTGGGCAAAGCCTTCACAGCAAGTTCCAACCACTGACAAACAGCCTAAACAGTAAATAAAACTGATATTAACATTTCTACTTACTGAGCAAGTTGTAAAATTAGGAAGTCACTTTGCATTCTGTTCAGGTATAAACTACCCTCAATGAGAGATATGAGATGGTGGTATTTTGAGTTGATGCCATGTAGTCTTTCATATCGTTACCACCAAAATCTGTACACGCACAGGAATTTCACAGTTTTTCCTCAGAAACTACAGCAAAATGAAACTGTTACTTAGAAGAGATGACAGTTGCTTTTACAGTGTGTCCAGACAGCAGTAATGGCAAGTACAATGCCTATGTACTTACTACCCTGTCATGGAGCATCAATTCCATGATGACATCAGCTACTTCAGATAACATGTAGGAATGCAGACAGAATACACAAGCATGGATCAGATTGTTGACTAATGCTTGGCCATTATCTCTTACAATTCCTTTGACCAAAGTATTTCTCACTTCAAAATCTTCTTGATGCTGAAATGAACAATAAAAAAATATCAGTATACACTATATCCACCTAATGAAATATTAGTATTGTACTTTTTAATATAAGATGACATGTTTATTACTTTATCAACTTAATTCATAAATGATGGTACATTGTATCAGTACCTCACATTTTCCATGTCTCCTCAACAGAGATTTCGTGGTTCAGTAGAAAATAAAATGGACAAACACACAGATCTTCAAAATAAATTAAGTTATGGAAGTAACAGATAAGATGTCTCCTCTACTATTAAATTAGTATAAAAACAAAAGACTATCAATTTGGTATCTAGTAACAAAATTTGTTCTATTATATGATCCCCCCCCCCCCCCCTAAAGTCAGGTATAACAGTAATGCAGGATGATTTAAGGTTACAACATTCATGAGCCAAAGAACACTGACTCCAAATGGCTTTATATCCAATGCATAATGGAAAGAAACAGAGGTGAGTCTAAATTCCATTCTGAATGTCATGGAAAACAGAAAAATTACTGTACTTTTAAGTCTTTAAAAAATATTAAAACCTTAACAAATTACCAGTCTTGAACGGATCTTCCTTTGTCCTCAGGTAAAAAATACGGGAGACCTACTTTGTTGGAACCAGCAGACTGAGATATTCTCAATCTGTAGACACAGTCATCATTTTAAGCATGCTGTTTTTTAAGATTTTTAAGACTTTCAACTACATAAAAATCTTATTCCAATGTATCTTCTTATTTTACGCACAGACGCCTCTCTCTCTTATATAAATTTGATACAGGTTTTGTGAAACAGTTTGGCAATTTGTATTCATGTAGCCTGTAGCACCATGTTTGGCACTAAGATTACCAGCATTACATTATAATACTTTCTCTGAAATATACAGATACAGGGCTGACCATGTATCCGTACAATTCAACTCAAGACCCACTGGATGTGTTTTGATTAAATATGTTGTGAACATTATGCCACTGGAGGCTACCCTCAACTCACACTTTTCACTTTCTACAATCAGCAATAACAACCATGTGGAAGCACAAACTTATGAGATGAGAGCAACATTAGATAACCTTAATCTTTTAAGGCCGAATGGTAATTATATGTTCCACCTGTTTTAATGTTCACAAAGTGTATTTATGGTTTTTTTGTCATTATTCTCAGAACAGATTGTTTTCTTTGAGGTATGGACGAAATTTTTAAATATTATCTACACAGGCTTCATATTCAAAGGTTTAATATAGTGTCAAGTAACGATTAGTTTATAACAGGTATAGAAACAAAGTCAAAGCCCTCTATTTAAAATAATGTTGTTCTTTCAATAATCTGTTTCCAATAAATGAATTAATCTGTAGCAAACACACATACATGCATTTTAATAATAGTAATAATGTTGGTAAGTACAAACATTAGATTAAAATTTGCTCCAGTTTCTTTTGTGAATAAGAAAATAACTAGGTAACTGTGTACAAACAAATCTTATACTGAAGAAAAATGCTTGGTTTTACATTGTCTGTGATCGATTGCAATGCTTATGTAAATATATTTATGGTAATGCTCACATGACACAAGTATGATATAGTACATTTCCTCATGCCAGCTAGAAGCATTCAGGATGCAAAGGTGCAAATAAATAATGCACAAACTCTGTATATTCCAGTATGGAGTACACCTTTCCATTATGATTATGAAGAGTGAAACAGATAGTTAAGGTGAAGCACTACAAACCTGATTATTTCTTCCAGAGTGTATAAGGTCATAAAAGAATTTCATTATAGACACATTTGCATCTCTGTGGTCCAGGGTACTTGCTAGCAGCGCACATTGGATAATGGAACTGAGAGCTGGACACTGCAGAAATGGAACAGGTGCTCTCTGTAAAAACCTGCAACAGTAATGCTGATGTTACTCTGTAAGACAATGATTACTGCATATATTTACTTACCATATTTACCCAACTACAAGAGAATCCAATTCTCCACAATGACAAATTTTTAGGTGGGAAAAAGTCAGTACCAGAATGCTACAGGTGATAACAAACTTGTGCATCCTCATTTGCTAGCTAAATCCCAAGCTCACACCAGCATCCCCTCAGGCTATGCCACCTATATTTGACATCACTTCTTTTAAAAGATGCACCAGGATAGTATCTTGACATTAGAAAAACATCAGAAAATCACCCTTGACCCCTCCGCCCAGCTTGAATACACATTGCCTTAATTTACTTGATTTGTATCTCAAATTATTGTTCTACCTTGTACACAATTATATGTAGCTAGTAATTAACTACATAAAGTAATTAAATTCAGTCAATTATGAACACACATTAATGGGTGCACAATGGAAGATGGATGACTGGGGTGCAAATTCAAATGATCCTCAAGCTGTCACTATGTGTATCCAAAGATAATCAAGATGATATTTCAAAACCTACTGTTCTGCTTCCAGTATTATTCTTTTTGGTTCAATAACAAAAGTAAAGACAATGAAAATGCATAACCATGTCTGATGGATGTTGTCTCATTTGAAAATGTGTACCAAAAGTACTGTCCACAGATCACGAGAAAAACCCTGCGGGGGGAAGTCGTTTCTGGTGCAGAGCGGGGGGAAAGTTACTTATCAGCTGGACTAGAGGGCTGCTATTGGTGGGAAGTGTGACACGCCAGAGAGTTATGCTACTACACACAGACTGAAAACATCCAGCAGTTGAGATTAGCGTGTATTTAGTGCGTCTGTACTGTGTTCTGTGGGTGTTGTGATAATATTCTATATTCAATCACAGGTGATTTAAAGATGTCGAGTGTATGTAAACAGGGGAAAACTATTCACAGGGAAGCGCGGTAAATAATATCCAGCGTAGTGAAGCTGTGTGATGAGGAAGCAAGACGGAAAGAGCTAAAATTTCCCTTGACCCGTGCAACAGACAGCCAGATATGCGGGTGTATCTAAGGATTTAATTAAGAAGGTAAGGCAAGAGTCAAAAGATAGAGACGACAAGGGCACACTGTCACCTTTACACATGCCAGGGAAACACCGGCCTAGACCTACTGACATGTCAGTGATAAAGCGGACTGTGCAAGAATTTTGCGCAATACAGAAGAAAGTACCAAGCTGCCCCAAGCTACTGCCCATAATTAAACAAAAAATTGACTTTCCATGGGGTGTTGATTCTCTACGGAATATTTTACATAACTTAGGGTTTAAGTGGAAGAACTGTCTAAGTAAGCGCAAGATCCTGATGGAAAGGCCGGACATAGTAAACTGGCGAGGGAGGTATTTAGTGAATATTAAGACGCTTCGCAATGAAGGAAGACAAATATTCTACTTAGATGAAAGCTGGGTAGACAGCAATTTAACTTTCAAAAAGTGCTGGCAAAGTACGGAAGTTAAAGGGGTATGCTCTGATCGAAATGCTGGAAAAAGACTGATTGTGGTTCACGCTGGATCGCGTGCTGGTTTCCTTCAAGGTGCGGGACTGATATATAAAGCTGGCTCGGCAAGTGGCAACTACCATGGTCAGATAAACAGTACAAATTTTGAAAAGTGGGTTAGAGAGAAAATGTTACAGAATTTGCCCCCCAGTTCAGTGGTAGTACAGTGAAACCTCTATCCATCGTTCCCGAAACTATCGTTTTCCCGGATGCATCGTCCGTTTTGTTCGGTCCCGAATACATCCCATATAAAATAATGTTACATTTTCCCGCTTCTATCGTTCCTCGAACTATCGTTTTATCGCATCGATCGTTCAAAAATCTTAGTCCCGGCCCACAATTTTCCCGCAATGATCGTTTCTGAGAAATTAAAATGCTGGGTTTTGAGATAAATTAATACCGAAAGACGCACAATGTTTTTGGAATAAACAGTAGCGGTAACCTGTTATGTCGCCCAACCAGCACATTCTTTTGGAATGAGGGTCAGCGGTGCAGGGGTGATAGTTGGAGTGAATGGCGGTGCCCATTGTCAGAAATTTTACGATTTTAATTAGGGTGCACTCATATTTCGTTCCAGCGATGCCAGATGGCATGTGCAGTGTGAATTTCTTCACAAATGCTTTTATTACAAGTACAAAGGAAAGGCTGGCGGCACTTTTCATTCTTCTGGTTCGTCTCATTTCCAGTGGTTCAGTGTCTTCTACGGCTACGTTTCGTCGTGTTCGGCAGTAA